TGAAGAACCTGCAGAGCTACTTTTGGAACAAATTACGCATACGAAGAGGATGGTGTTTTACATGTAGAGTGAAAGTTTTACTCTGCGCGCTGTTGGGTCATTATTGTATTACATTTTTGTAGTTTTTTTCTGCTTTGGAAACTATATTCAAGAATAAAACAGTTTTAAAGTTCTGGACTGCAGGGGAAATGGCCAGCGAACTGAAACCACGGCTTTGTATCATGACAAAGAGTGAGAACGGGTACGGGTTTCACCTGCACGGTGAGAAGGGGAAGACCGGCCAGTACATTCGCAAAGTAGAGCCCGCATCGTCAGCGGAAGCGTCGGGGCTGCGCGCGGGGGATCGTGTCATTGAGGTGAACGGGGGAAATGTGGAGAAAGATACGCACCATCAAGTGAGTATAGCACATCACGAACTGTCCAACTCCATCCGATTTTTTCTGTCAGTGGACTACATCGACATGTTTAATATCTTATGAGCCTAGTGTTTCGGTAATGATATTGTCATGGAAATGACAGACAGACAGAGGAGGAAGAGAGAGGAGGACACGGAGGGGTCAACAGAGCTACTGTATCATGCATTGGCATTCAAAAAGTTCAAAACGTTGAAGGAGCACTTGACATTTGATTTGATACTTGAATGTATTCACTGCACCCTTAATATGGTTTTATAAGCTAATTATGCCTATATAAAATAATCATAGTATACAACAATGGACAATACCAAAATAGACCATTACTTTAGCTCCCCTAAAAACAACTCAGCATTTCCCCATGCAGTGGCATAATATAAATCATAACTAAACTCCTAACAACTTTTCCAGGTTAAAATATCCACTTTTTTATGACTAGCCTACTTAGCACATTGAAACCATGTAAAGACACAGTGAGTGGTTAACATCGCACTCTAACCAAGTTGTTTAGTCTATAATGTTCTATGGTCTCTGAGAATAAGCAGACAGTCTAGACAGCCTTTCAGAAGTTACTGGAAGACATCACACATCTCCCTATCATCAGCTGCTGAGAGTGCCTGGTCACACACACACACACACACACACACTCACACTGCTGTGTTGATAGTGATCTGAGTTCTTAGTGAATGGCTGTGTTGTATCTCTGATGGGCAATGTCAGCCTGAAGATGAGACAAACACACATAAAGCAGACATAGCATGCATGAGATTGAAGTGCAGCCAATCTATTCCAGTGAGGTAGAACGTCTGAAATGGCTGTCATCATGTTAGTTGCATGTCAGTGTGTGTCACCTCTGACATTGTGACCCAGGATGAGCCATATAGGAAGCCCTGCACTGTAAGTGTGTAACACTTTGGTTCGGTGAGCCACACTCGCATGATGAGGAACCTTGCCTGAGACCTTGTCTGATACATTTACATTTTAGTCATTTAGCAGACGCTCTTATCATATATTTTTCATACCTTTAGTTAAGACCTAATACTTATAGACTTTAGCTCAGTGGACTAACACAGTCTTGTGGCGCCCATGCAGGAGACCTGGGATCAAAATCCGGTTAGTCACGTGTACTCCACTGGGTCTTGCAATCTGGACCTCATAACCAACTGTCTATAAATCACCAGAGTTCCAGACGTCCTCGTTGTGTTTACATCCCAAACCCCGCCTTCCTTCCTCCCTTACCCCATGCCACTCAGCAGTAAGTAATGAACGGCAGAGACAGACGTCTAATGGGACGTCTGGGACAAGGGAGTCCCACTTTAGACACTACAATAAAGAGGCTGACTTGATGTAGGGCCCAGATACTGTAGAGAGTGTTGGTGTTTCTGTCTCATATCACATCCTATTCCCTGTAGTGCAATACTTCATTGTTATGTCAATAATCATGTTATTACTCTCATTCTCTTTCATCTTTCTCTCCCTGTCTTACCCTTTCATCCTCTCCTCTATTCAATTAAATTCTAAGGGCTTTATTGGCATGGGAAACATATGTTTACATTGCCAAAGCAAGTGAAATAGATAATAAACAAAAGTGAATTAAACAATAAAAAATGAACAGTAAACATTACACTCACAAGTTTCAAAGGAATAGACACATTTCAAATGTCATATTATGGCTATGTACAGTGTTATAATGATGTGCGATAATGATCTCCCCCTCCCCCCAGGTGGTACAGAGGATCAAGGCGGTGGAGCAGGAGACCAGGCTGCTGGTGGTGGACCGGGAGACAGACGAGTACCTCCGCAGCCTGCGCCTCGTCTGCACCGAGGAGATGGCTGTCCGCCTGGGGGGACCCACCTCTGTGTCCCCCGCCTCACCCCTAGCCTCACCGCCTCCCTCCTCGCCCCCGGCCTCCTTGCCCGCCGCCAAGAGAGAGAACGGGTCCGTGTCCAAGCTGCCCGCCACCCTGACTAGAGAGGTGCCCAAGCCCACGCGAAGGTCTCCGTCGCGGGCCGCCAAGAAGGTGCGTACCCCCTCGGTTGAGACTCAATGGTTTTTACACTGTAGGGGTGTTGTGGTGGTGGGTTAGTGCTGGGCTGGAACAAAAGCATCCACGTGTACAAACACACACCAGAGACCCCCAGCTGACATAGATACATGATTTTTACACTGGAGTAGGGCTGTGTTCTTGTCTTAGTGCAGGGCTGGAACAAAATCCTGCACTCACATCTGCACATCAGATATGGGCTGAAGGCTCCTGGATCAGGGAATGGTATTTCGGGGATTATGGTTGAAAGTAGGGAATGTTCAAGGGTACATAGTTAGGCCATTGAATTCCTTATGGAATTGCACGCTTCCAATCTCTTCCAAACTCTTCTGTCCTGCACCATTCCTTCAAGGTGTTGCTATGTCAACCCCACTTTCTTCATGTCTTGTTCTGCCACACCTCCAGGTGTTCTTGGGTCTTCCTCTCTTGCTTTCACCCTGTGGGTTCCAGGTAAGATCGAGTTCAAGGTTAGCTCAAGGGTCCTAACCCAAAATGCTATCTGTTAAATAAACACTACCATGCTGTCACAGTGTGCTGGTATTTTAATGTGGGTCAGCATTCTCTCGCTGTAGCAGCCAGAGAAGCCGATGTATAACATCTGATTGCCTTTAGTCACAGATCTAGGATCAGCTTATCTTCCCGAAATCAGAACATTTTACATTTATTTTTTAGTCATTTAGCAGACGCTCTTATCCAGAGCGACTTACAGTTAGTGAATACATATTTTTTATTTATTTTTTATACTGGCCCCCCGTGGGAATCAAACCGACAACCCTGGCGTTGCAAACACCATGCTCTATCAACTGAGCTACATCCCTGCCAGCCATTCCCTCCCCTACCCTGGACCAATTGTGCGCCGCCCATGAGTCTCCCGGTCGCGGCCGGCTGCGACAGAGCCTGGATTCTAACCAGGATCTCTAGTGGCACAGTTAGCACTGCGATGCAGTGCCTTAGACCACTGCGCCACTCAGGAGCTAACCTCCACTATTAGGGGGGAGACATAAAAATTGACCTTAGATCAGTGTCTAAGGTTGACTCCGTCCTATGCCCGCTGAGATCTGATTACCTGGGTCTTGTTTTTCGAGCTGGCTGACTGAGATCCAACCTGATCTGATGGCCTAGATTAGATTAGACCTGTCCTCTGTTTGAGGCGAGTCCAAGACCTGTCAACACACAGTAGTAACAATGTGTTTGTGGTGTGTGTGTGTGTGTGTGTGTGTGTGTGTGTGTCAAATCAAATCAAATCAAATCAAATTTTATTGGTCACATGCGCCGAATACAACAGGTGCAGACATTACAGTGAAATGCTTACTTACAGCCCTTAACCAACAGTGCATTTATTTTAAACAAAAAAGTAAGAATAAAACAACAACAAAAAAGTGTTGAGAAAAAAAAGAGCAGAAGTAAAAAATAAAGTGACAGTAGGGAGGCTATATATACAATAGAATAAAGTGACAGTAGGGAGGCTATATATACAGGGGGGTACCGTTGCATAGTCAATGTGCGGGGGCACCGGCTAGTTGAGGTAATATGTACATGTGGGTAGAGTTAAAGTGACTATGCATAAATACTTAACAGAGTAGCAGCAGCGTAAAAAGGATGGGGTGGGGGGGCAGTGCAAATAGTCCGGGTAGCCATGATTAGCTGTTCAGGAGTCTTATGGCTTGGGGGTAGAAGCTGTTGAGAAGTCTTTTGGACCTAGACTTGGCACTCCGGTACCGCTTGCCGTGCGGTAGCAGAGAGAACAGTCTATGACTAGGGTGACTGGAGTCTTTGACAATTTTGAGGGCCTTCCTCTGACACCGCCTGGTATAGAGGTCCTGGATGGCAGGGAGCTTTGCCCCAGTGATGTACTGGGCCGTACGCACTACCCTCTGTAGTGCCTTGCGGTCAGAGGCCAAGCAGTTGCCATACCAGGCGGTGATGCAACCAGTCAGGATGCTCTCGATGGTGCAGCTGTAGAATTTTTTGAGGATCTGAGGACCCATGCCAAATCTTTTTAGTCTCCTGAGGGGGAATAGGCTTTGTCGTGCCCTCTTCACGACTGTCTTGGTGTGTTTGGACCATGATAGTTCGTTGGTGATGTGGACACCAAGGAACTTGAAGCTCTCAACCTGTTCCACTACAGCCCCGTCGATGAGAATGGGGGCGTGCTCAGTCCTCTTTTTTTTCCTGTAGTCCACAATCATCTCCTTTGTCTTGGTCACGTTGAGGGAGAGGTTGTTGTCCTGGCACCACACGGCCAGATCTCTGACCTCCTCCCTATAGGCTGTCTCATCGTTGTCGGTGATCAGGCCTACCACTGTTGTGTCGTCGGCAAACTTAATGATGGTGTTGGAGTCGTGCCTGGCCATGCAGTCATGGGTGAACAGAGAGTACAGGAGGGGACTGAGCACGCACCCCTGAGGGGCCCCCGTGTTGAGGATCAGTGTGGCAGGATCAGTGTGTGTGTGTGTGTGTGTGTGTGTGTGTGTGTGTGTCGGATGGCAGGATTGGTACTCAAAAGTCAAGGGTCATTACATCACTGTGGTTAGGATTCTGACCTAATGGACAATGCAGCAATTCTCCCTGTGCTTGCCAAGTACAGTGGGGAAAAAAAGTATTTAGTCAGCCACCAATTGTGCATGTTCTCCCACTTAAAAAGATGAGAGAGGCCTGTAATTTTCATCATAGGTAGACGTCAACTATTACAGACAAAATGAGAAAAAAATATCCAGAAAATCACATTGTAGGATTTTTAATGAATTTATTTGCAAATTATGGTGGAAAATAAGTATTTGGTCACCTACAAACAAGCAAGATTTCTGGCTCTCACAGACCTGTAACTTCGTCTTTAAGAGGCTCCTCTGTCCTCCACTCGTTACCTGTATTAATGACACCTGTTTGAACTTGTTATCAGTATAAAAGACACCTGTCCACAACCTCAAACAGTCACACTCCAAACTCCACTATGGCCAAGACCAAAGAGCTGTCAAAGGACACCAGAAACAAAATTGTAGACCTGCACCAGGCTGGGAAGACTGAATCTGCAATAGGTAAGCAGCTTGGTTTGAAGAAATCAACTGTGGGAGCAATTATTAGGAAATGGAAGACATACAAGACCACTGATAATCTCCCTCGATCTGGGGCTCCACGCAAGATCTCACCCCGTGGGGTCAAAATGATCACAAGAACGGTGAGCAAAAATCCCAGAACCACACAGGGGGACCTAGTGAATGACCTGCAGAGAGCTGGGACCAAAGTAACAAAGCCTACCATCAGTAACACACTACGCCGCCAGGTACTCAAATCTTGCAGTGCAAGACGTGTCCCCCTGCTTAAGCCAGTGCATGTCCAGGCCCGTCTGAAGTTTGCTAGAGTGCATTTGGAAGAAGAGGATTGGGAGAATGTCATATGGTCAGATGAAACCAAAATAGAACTTTTTGGTAAAAACTCAACTCGTCGTGTTTGGAGGACAAAGAATGCTGAGTTGCATCCAAAGAACACCATACCTACTGTGAAGCATGGGGGTGGAAACATCATGCTTTGGGGCTGTTTTTCTGCAAAGGGACCAGGACGACTGATCCGTGTAAAGGAAAGAATGAATGGGGCCATGTATCATGAGATTTTGAGTGAAAACCTCCTTCCATCAGCAAGGGCATTGAAGATGAAACGTGGCTGGGTCTTTCAGCATGACAATGATCCCAAACACACCGCCCGGGCAACGAAGGAGTGGCTTCGTAAGAAGCATTTCAAGGTCCTGGAGTGGCCTAGCCAGTCTCCAGATCTCAACCCCATAGAAAATCTTTGGAGGGAGTTGAAAGTCCGTGTTGCCCAGCGACAGCCCCAAAACATCACTGCTCTAGAGGAGATCTGCATGGAGGAATGGGCCAAAATACCAGCAACAGTATGTGAAAACCTTGTGAAGACTTACAGAAAACGTTTGACCTGTGTCATTGCCAACAAAGGGTATATAACAAAGTATTGAGAAACTTTTGTTATTGACCAAATACTTATTTTCCACCATAATTTGCAAATAAATTCATAAAAAATCCTACAATGTGATTTTCTGGAAAAAAAATTCTCATATTGTCTGTCATAGTTGACGTGTACCTATGATGAAAATTACAGGCCTCTCTCATCTTTTTAAGTGGGAGAACTTGCACAATTGGTGGCTGACTAAATACTTTTTTCCACCACTGTACCTAAGTGACATCATGTGGCTGTAGAAACGACTCTCCACACAGTATTACAGTAGACCTCAGAGTAAGTGCTGATCTAGGATCAGTTTTAGATCATAGTGAATAAGATGGATGGACGGGGGACCTGATCCTAGATCAACACTCCTACTCTGTAACGCTTTATGAATAGGGACCCTTGGGTGTACATTTTCTGGTGAATGGTTGTATGTGCAGATGTCTGAAATATGATAGCCCTTGGTTGTAAACAGTTTGTTTTCTGAAATCTAGTTCAAGTATTGCATGTTGATTTGGAAAACCGGATACATTTCCGTTGGGTCCCTGTCTTCCTGACAATCTACTCTGCTTTTGTTTTACATCTGCCCTATCTGCAAGATGAGGCTTCTCTGCTTCTGTTTCATGCATTAAACAGAACATGTGTTTTCACTTACGCTCGTCTTGCCAATTGGTGCACGATGCAGAACTCTTATTTCTACATAAGCACTGACAAGGCCAATCAGTGTGTGTGGGTGTGTGTGTGCGTGTGTGTGGTGTGTGTGTGTGTGCAATGTGTGTGTTTAGCCTTTGCTCAGCTGCGATCGCTTTGTGAGCCGTGGAGAGAAATCCCAGCCAGAAGGCCTAGCTAAGCTCAGGAAATGTCTCTCTCTCTCTCTCTCTCTCTCTCTCTCTCTCTCTCTCGCTCTCTCTCTCTCTCTCTCTTTCTCTCTCCTCGCTCTCTCCTTCTCTCCCCCACACACACACCCCTCCCTCTCTCTCTCAATCTCTCTCACCCCATGCTTGCCTGAAGAGAACATAAAATACACAGAGACCCCAGAAACAAATCCTTTCCAAGCGGAGGAGAGGAGAGGAGGTTTATAAAGACCT